TTTAGTCCCCTAATTTTATTAACTAATATTTTAACCCCAAATCATATGTTTTAATTTATTTTAATCTGATTTTCGAATTTTATATAATTTTAGTTTAGTCACTAAATTAATAAATAAGAAAAATAACATGTTTAATCCCTATAATTTTAAATAATTAATTAAATTAAGTATTTAATTTTATTAGATTATAATTTAGTAATTAATTTTAAATATTTTCATTGCTTTTAAATATATAGTTCTAATCGTATTTTTATTATTGTTTATTTATGTTTTAATTTTATTTATATATTTAAATATTATTTTTATTATTATTATATAGTCATAAATTATTTTTATTTTAATATTTATTTATTTTTTAATATCAAAGAAAAGGGCAGTCTTAATACAACTGGATGTCCTATTCTGGTATTTCTAAATAAATAAATATTTTATTTATAAATATATATATAAATTAATGTATATTTTTCATAGTTATAATCTTAAAATAATAGGATTATAAATTAAATATATTTTGATTTTTTAATTTCTAATAATAGAGACAATTTCTAATTAAAAAGTACCAATTTTGGGCGTTGTAGGGGTGCTAATCCTTCCCTAAACGTAACCAACCACGAATCCCTTTTTATTATAAAAAAGAACGAATTTTTGGTTAAAACGCAGATCAGTTTATCTTTTAATCGATGTTTTCTAAAAACTCTTTTAAATGATGATTTTTAGGTATTCGACCTACCTGACCCAAAAGGCTGATGGCGACTCCCAAATTATTTTAAAACCATTTATTCACATCACTTTTCCCGCAGAGTAAAAAAAATTTCGTGCCCGGACAAAAACCGGTTACGACAAGCAAGATCAAAGGAGAAAAGCAAGAAAACCCATAATTCTTTAGGAATTAAAAGTTTTAATTAAAGTCAAACACTTTAGACTTATTATTTTATGTATGATTTTTAATTATTTATCATTAGGACTTAGTTTACTCTTAATTAAGAATTAAGTGTTTTAATTTTTATAGAGTTAGTATTTTATTCTCATTAGGATTATCTCAAAGCTATAAATACCCTATAGAGGTGAATCTTGAGAGATGTACAAGTTCAAAATTTATAATAGAACTTATTTTGACTTTTGAGGTTTTTAGTTCAATAAAATTATTTTTTCTCCAATTTTCTTTCTTCCATATGCCAAGTATGAATTCTATCTTACTTGGCTAAATTTATACTTAGCTGATAGCTAAGCTACGACTCAATCTGATCTTGTGAGAATTGCATAAACATTTCATATCTTTAGATTTCTTTCTTGATTTTTGGCATACAATGAAAGGCAATCAGCCTTTCTTTAACCATCTCAATATTTTCAATCCAAAGTGTGCAATTGGCTTGATCATTGTTTTCATCTACGGTTAGGGATGAGAATCAACTTGTAGGAAATTCAATTCCCTAAGAACAAACTTAGTGGCAGTCCGCTAAGGGAAATCAAGATCAGGTTTGATTCTCATTGAGACATCATAATCTGAGCAAGGGCTTTTCTAGTTCTTGGACCAACATTAGCGTTAACATCGATAACTGTTGTTGATCCAAACAAGGGCTAAATTTTAAGGATTGACTTTGGAAAATTAGTTTACTTGAGAGAAGAGTAAGTTACAAGAGTTGGGTCTTGTAGATTGTAATCGGAAAGTACCCTAAGTAAAATCTATTTCAGTGATAGAGACAAATTGAGGCAAAACGAAGCTGAAGGCTATCTCTCATCATAATTAATTTTTATACAACTTATTTTCTTGCTTTTACTACTTTAATTTATTTTATTCAATTGTTTTAAACCCCATTTTTTATTTTTTATTTTTCAGTTCTTACTAATCAAGATCAAATCAATTCGAAATTAGAAATTTATGAATCCTTGTGGATCGACTCTTTTTTCTTATTCTTCATTGATAACTTACTTATCTAAGATAAATGGCTTATTTATTTGACAATTACGACGCTAGTCGAATTGACACCGTTAACAGGAATTCGACAAAATTTTTGATATTTTTTTATTTATACCAAGAAATATTTGGTGACCTAGTAGATTAGAAACCTGAGATCAAAGCATTAACCTGAAAAATACACTCACGTACACTACAAGAAAGCTGACAGCAACAAGAAGAATAACAACAATCCGAATCAAATCCAATACCTAAACTGGAGACATGATTTAACTTCGAGACTTTCTCTGATGCCGAAGAAGACTTCGAAGAACTAATTTCAATGGATCAACAGACGATCCAATAATTAGCCGCGACACCTGCTGAACAACAACCATTATGCATCACATTCCCTTATGGAGAAACATCGTTTGAGTTGAAAACAGGTTCGATCCATCTTCTACCTACTTACCATGGACTACCCAACGAAAGTCCTCATAAGCATCTTACTAATTTCATCTAGTTTGCTCTACATGAAACCACATGGATTATCTGATGATCAGATTAAACTCTACGTTTTCTCTTTTTCTTTACCCGACTCGACTAAATATTGGTTATTTTATTTATTTACCTCCTAATTTTGTTAATACATGGGTTGGTATTACTCATCTTTTTCTTGACAGGTTCTTCCCTACAGCAAAAGTGAGTGAATTAAGAAGGAAAATCTTAGGAATACAACAAACAAATGGAGAATCATTATATAACTACCGAGACGATTCAAGAAACTCTACACTAGCTATCCACACATGACTGTCAGAGCAAACACTTCTCTAATACTTTTACGAATGACTACTTCCTTTAGAGATGAAGAGATAGATGAGCTTATAGAGGAACTCGTTAATATGACTCCAAACGTAACCAAAAATATGATCTCAATTATGGCTGCTAACTCTCAACAATTTGGCTCTGTTAGTGAACCCACTCGACGGTTCACGAGATAAGTAAATTTCATTGGAAAATAAATTGATAAATTAGTTGATATTGTTCAATCTCTTGTTTCAAGAAAAATGACTACAGCTAGACTTTGCAGAATATGCACAATACCAGACCATCCCACGGATTGTTATCCTGTTACAAGAAGACTCTACCACACAAGTTAACACAGTTGGAAATTTTCAGGACCTCCACATAGACCATACAATCCTAACGCAAATACCTATAAGGTGGAGAGACATCCAAATTTAGGTATGCATAGAACTAAAGGGGTTCTCAACAACAACTATATCAACTGAGACCACCTCAACAACAGCAATACCAACCGTCAAAACCTTCACTAGAATCCATCGTTGAGAGGTTGGCATTATCTCAAGAGAAGTTCCAAAACTGAACTGAAACACATCTACAGGAAATAGATAAACTAATTAGTCAATGAATTAGACCATGGGAAGTACCAAATCACAAGGAAAGTTACCATCTCAAACTGAGGCAAACTCGCAAGAAAATTTTAGTGGCATCGCCCTTTAGAGTGGCAAATGATCACACCAATTCCTAAAGAATTTGCCAAAAATAAAAAGAAAAAAAAGAAAAATCGAGATCCCAGAGGGATCAAAGAGGTTTGCAGAGGAGAAAGAAAAGAAAGAAAAGGAAAACCCCCAAGTAAAAAAGGAGGAGTAAACACACTACCCCAGAAAAAGAAAAATTCGACACCATTCCTACAATATTTCCTTATGCCACGCCACCACCATTTCCCTACAGGTTAGTAAAATGTGGAAAACAGTTGAGGAAAAGAAGATTCTTGATGTTTTGAAAAGTGGAAAATAAACACTTCTTGAAGTAATCTGAAAAGTATCGAGATATGTAATATTTCTAAAGGATCTTTGCACGAAAAATGAGACTTACTGGTAATGAAAGATAAATTTAGGTGAAACGTCTTATCTATTTTTCAATGCAGCTTCCACCGAAACTAAAAGACCAAGGTATGTTTGTTACACCCAGCAAAATTGTCAAGTAAGTATTAACATACTATGTGTGACTTTGGTCTTCAATTAATGTTATGCTTTATATGTTTACAACTCACTTTATACCGAGCCTTTTAAGGAAACTAAGTAACGATTTAACTCACTGGTAGATGTCATTTATCTTGGGACATCTGAAAACATTCTTGTTAAGGTAATAAATTAATTTTGGTTGATTTTTATGTCATCGACATGGAAATGATCGAACTAATTCTTCTTCTGAGATCTTTCTTGGTCCCCATCTTAAGAATTGCATAGACCAAATTTGATGTTAAGAGTAGAATTATTAATATGGAATTCGATAGTGAGGTTGTAAGTTGATGTTTACAAAGCGATTAAGTATCTAGATAATGTTGCAGCATTAATTTCATTGATGTTATGAACCTTTAGTGGATGATTTATTGAGACTGACTTATCCAACGATTGTGCAGAGTTAAAAAACTACGATGAAGAAATCAGGGAGTTAGAAAATAATTTTTATTCAACTGGACTTGCACCTAACATAATCTAAATCTAAACTTTACCTTCAATTTTCTAGGCACCTCAAATTGATTCAAATAGTTATTGGACCATCTCAAATACATATTTTTAAGAGAAAAGCACCCTCTAGTTATTATTTTAAATAAACTTTCAAAGAGGAGGAAGAAGACTTAGTGACGATTTATGCGCTCACAAGGAAGCAATCGACTAAACTATAGCCTATCAAAGGACTTAGTCCATCGGCATGCATGCATAAGATTAAAAACCAAGAAGGCACAAACCATCCCGAGAATGAAAAAACGTTTAAATCCTCCCATGATGGAGGTGGTGAAGAAAGAAATTCAAAAATATTAGACACTGACGTTATCTATCTGATATCGACGTAATCAGATAAGTCAGTCCATATGGTTTCTAAGAAAACTGAAGTAACGATAATTGAAAATTTGAGGTGAACTAGTTCCTACAATGAGTTCAAATAGATGGAGAGTTTGCATCGATTATAGGAAGTTGAACTCATCTACTCGAAAAGATTATTTTCCACTTCCTTTTATTGATCAAATGATTGAACAATTATAGGTAAATCTCACTATTGTGTCTAAATGGTTTTTCAGGATTCTTTAAGATTTCAGTCGCACCAGAAGATCAAGGGAAACAACGTTTAATGTCCTTTTAGTACCTTCGCTTATCGACGATGCCCACTTGGCTTATGTACTCCCTAGGTACATTCCAGAGATGCATGCTTAGCATATTTTCAAATTACGTAGAGAAATGAATTGAATTTTTCATGGATGACTTTACGGTATCGGTATCCTTTGATGAGTGTCTCTTCAATTTACTAATAGGGTAAAATGATGCATTGAATATAACATTGTGCTTAATTATGAAAAATGTAATTTTATGTTCGATAAATGTTTAGTTCTTGGTCACAATGTCTCTGCTGATGGAATCTCGGTCGATAAGGCCAAAACTAAAATTATCTCTCACTCTCATGCCCCACAACTGTGAGGGAAGTTCTTTCTTGAACATGTAGGTTTTATCATAGATTTATAGAAAATTTTCTAAGATAGCGTAACCTCTTTGCAAGCTCGTACAAAAGGATACACCTTTCTATAACAAACAATGCAAAGAAGCTTTCGACATCTTAAAGAAAGAACTTATTTCGACACACTAGTAAAATCGTCGAATTAGCATTATCCCTTTGAGATCATGTACGATGCAAGTGACTCAAGCGTAGGAGTTGTGCTTGGACAAAAAAATAGCAAAGAGCCCCATTATATCCTATGAGTCTAGGACTCTAGACATGACTTAACAGAAACTACTCGACTACTGAAAAAGAACTATTTTCCATTATTTTGTTTTGGAAAAAATATGTTCTTATCTCCATTCTGTCATGCAGCTTTCAAATATTTACTGAATAAAAATGAGGCAAAACCTCGCTTAATCTGATGGATTTACTCTCACAAGAGTTTAATCTTCAGATTAAAGATAAAGGTACGAAAAGCTAGTCGTTTATCACCTAAGTCGACTCTTATTTCTCAAATCGATGAACCAATTCAAGAAAATCCTTAAAGAGCACTTATTTTTGGCACAGACACCTATATCATGGTATGTAGATATGGTTAATTACTTAGCCACATGGGTGCTTCCATCTAATCTAAATCATTCTAAGGTAAATAGTATAAAATGATAATCTATATTTTATTTGGGATGATCCATATATTTGGAACATTGCTCGGATACGGTAATTCATTGTGTATCCCCAAAAGCGAGGTAAACCTATCCTTAATTTTTGTCATGCTTATTCTAGTAGAGGACACTTTGAACCAAAAAGATCTACACATAAAATTCTTGAATGTGGATTTTACTGGCCTAACATTTTTCGGGATGCATATGTATTATGTAAATCTTGTGAAAAATTTCAGTTCACAGGTAATTTAAGCCGTCGTAACGAGATGTCTCTTAATCTGATACATGTTTTTGAAATATTTGATGTATAGGGCAATGACTACATGGTTCTGTTCGTTCATCTTTGAAATTGTTACATATTAACGTTCATTACGTCTCAAATGGGTAGAAGTTAAAGTTACTCATAATAACGATGCTAGAAATACTGTTAATTTTAAATAATTTATTTTCGATGTTTGGAACTCCAAGGGTGATAATTAGTGATCAAGGGGCACATTTTGTCAATTGGATCATCGAGGCATTAATGAGGAAATATGGAGTCACTTAACGAATCACCACAGCTTATCATCCATAAACTAATGGACAAGTAGAAGTTTCAAATCAAGAAATTACATCAATTCTTTAGAAGATTGTGAAACCAAATAGAAAAAAAATGGAGTTTGAAACTAATATGCCTTATGGTCATATCGCACTCCTTATAAAGGTTCTATCAGCATGTCTCCATATTGCCTAGTCTATGGAAACCATGTCACTCACTAGTTAAATTAGAACATAATTCATATTGGGCGATTAAAGAATGCAACATAGAGATAGATGCAATCGGAGAAGCACGAAAATTAAACATTCAAGAACTTGAAGAAATTCGTCACAATGCTTACGATAGTGCTCAGATTTATAAGGATAAAGAAAAATATTTCCATGGTCGTCGAATTTCATTTAAATTTTAATGTTGGTCAGAAAATCTTATTGTTTAATTCTAAATTGAAAATCTTTGCAGGAAACTTACGAATGAAGTGGTCAGGACCTTATATTGTGACTCAAGTATTTCCCCATGGAGCAGTTGAAATTCAAGAAGATTCATGAACTTGTTTCAAAGTAATGGTCAACAGTTAAAGCCATACTACGAGAATAATCAAACACGCGTGATCAAGGAGGTTATTTAGAAGAACTTATAGTCTGAACCAGGCCGTCGAGCTAAATGACTTTAAATAAATCGCTTAATGGGAGGCAACCATTCTATTTAATTCTATTTAATTTTATTTTTGTTTATTTTTTTTGAATTTATTTTAAATTTTATTTTTTTCATACTTATTTATTTTTGTTTGAATTTTTTATGATACTACAAATGCTTTGATCAACCTAAAAGTTTAAGCAAATCCGACGAATTTGATCATATCTCACGCGAAGCACCAAAGTGACGCACGTTAGCACCCACGGTGTAGGTTTGCAAAACTCTACCGTACTAATACCCTTTGTCGCCCACCCCTTAAATACCATAAATTCTAACATCTTTTTACAACTTTTTCAGCCAAAACAATCCAATTTTTTTTAAACTCTTTATTATTATTATTATTATTATTATTATTATTATTATTATATTATTATTATTATTATTATTTATTTATTTTAATTATTTTCTTTTCTTTTCAAAATCCTTAACCAACCTAAACTTTTTTATTTTATTTTTTATTTTCTTAAAACCAATCAAACTTCTACTTTAACTTTAACTTTTTTCTCTCCACGTTTAAACCTTTTATTTCTTTTCTTTTTTTCACACATTACTTATTCTCTTTAAACCTTCAAAATCTTTTTCTTGTTTTCTTTTTTTTCCTCCACGCTAACTTACCACCCCTAACACCATCCACTATGTGTGCCACATCCGATCACCTCTGCTCGTCGAACACCACTTGTGTAGTCGGTTAGTATTTCACCATCTTTCTTTCTTCTTTTCATCTTTATTCTCTACTGTAAAATTTCAAGATGGAGAAAACAAGAAGTCAAAGATGCATCGTTTTGGAATTTAATCATGAATCTAGTGATTCCAACTTCGTCCAATATTCTCAGCCACATAATGGTGTTGATCCTTCACATTCATGAGAATATCAACTCTCACCGGCATCGTCATCATTGTCACATTATCTCACCTTACCACCTGAAGAATTACAATGATATTTGAAATTCAACGATGATGAACAAATCTGATTCAGCGATATCTAACATCGAAACTTTCAAGGTTGTAAGTACATTTGTACTCGTACGTTAGATACTTTGCATCTAAGAGAATCTGTTACACATTACTTGAATGTTATTGGCTGGACTTTAGATCCTGAAATTAAATGTGGAATATACTATGAATTGGTTTTTGAATTTTATACCACATTTACCTTTTTGACGTATCGAGTTGTTAGCGTGAATTACTCGGATGTTATTTCTTTCCACTTGATAGGACAATACTTTAGGATGTCAATTTTTGAATTTAATATTACCATAGGGTTCGTGATAGATGTCAAGAACCAAAGCTATTTGACATCTTTGCTTAAGATTCCATAGGATTTTGACACCGACTACGCTACTCGTATTGACCGATTCACCAGGATAAATCTTCAATGCACAAATGATGAAATGATGGCACATCTACCTACGCTTTGATGCATTCACCAGTTCATAGCATTCTACTACACGGGGAATAACAAAAATACATCTAGCTTGAGCAAAATTGAACTATTCTTCCTTCGGTACATGCTTATCGACATCAAACTTTACCTAGGATTTTGGTTTGCACGAGCTTTTGAGCGCATTGTGTTCTCTAATCAACCATTGATTCTTGGTCCATACATAAATCATCTTACATCTAGACTTTTCCATTATATTTTAATATTAAGAATTTACCTATGTTTTTCTATGAAAGGTTTACATTTATGATACTTGGACATGATGGGACTACTTATCGGTACACCCGATGTACCTTTCATTATACCTCTTGGCACCACGACACCTCGCAACAAGTGTCTTTCTTCGGAAACATGCACCACCATCAACGTCGACAGATGATCCATGTCTGAACATACACATAAACTTAACGAGATGCACGATCATCTCAACTCCCTTGAGTTCACTCTTACCGATATTTTATCCAACATTTGCCCGGTTATCTCTCGTCGAGGTCAAGGTCGCAAATGTCATTAAACTTGGGTATTCATTCTCCTACGCTTTAATTTTACATATTGGGACAATATGCTTTAAGGAGGAGGGTAGAACATAGAAAACACTTACATCGAATTTAGTTGTTTATTTATGCTTGAAATTGAGTTGACTTGATTGATATTTGAAGTATCTTGTTATTAATCTTGAATCTTGCTTTGTTTCATTGATTACCTTATGAGTTTGTGATCACGTTTTTATCATATTTAGGGTGCATGATAGTAAAAATGACATGACTAGTAATTTTCCTTAAAACTTATGCTTGATGTTCTATAAATCCATTGGTTGATATGTTTCTTGATTCAATACACAATACTCATTCTTGTGAGATTTGAGCCTAAACGAGCATACTTTTTTATTTTTGATAATTTGTTTGATTGAGTGTCCGGATTAATTTAGACATTCTAGAACTTGTAATTAAATACATATCGAGACCACGTGTTGAACTTGATGCTTTAATATGATTAGGGAACTTTGGATTAACCCGCTTCTTTACCCAAAATTGTTTACCCATTTATACCCACTAGTGAACCAACTTTGAGCTTTCACCCTTTACTTTGATTTTTACCACATCATAAACTTCTAAGCCTTGCAATTTTTATATTTTTATCCACTTTTGTAACCATAGTCAAGACAGGAGATAGATTTTTCCCACAAACGAAAAAAAAAACATTGAGAAAAAAATAAACAAAAACATCGGTTCAAACAAAGAGTTTGAACATAACAAAAAAGGGGTAACAAAATATAGTTGAAAAGCAACAAGAAAAATAAAAAAAAGGAGGAAAAAGGAAAATTGATTATACTATTATGCTTCTTTGAGGGTGTTTACATCATTGAAATCGTGGCTTGAACTTATATATTTTGCAACTCTTGTCTTGACATTTAAACCCAATTTTTTTAGCCTTATGCCTACTCTAACCTAAGCCTCGTTGCAACCTGATTAAAGACCCTTTATTAAATGCTTCTTGTTCATTCTAGTGGTGGAGACTTGATTTTCTTACAAGTCTATGGTAATATCTTTATTAATCTTGGCTTTGAGTGATTTCTTTTATCTTAAACACTTTGAGGGATAATGATTGAATCCTTGTGAGGTATTGAGTCTTGTTACATTGAAATTGATGAATTATTGGGATATCTGGACTTTTTCTTAAACTTGTTACTAGTTATGCCTATTTGCTTAATTATCACCTTGTTTTTTATAACCGATGTGATTATTGACTCGTTTGATTTTCTTTGGTATATCGTAAGATGAAGAATTGATAATTTGAGATTTTAATAATTGATTAAGGCATCCATGAGGACAAGCATTGAATAAGTGATGAGAATTTGATGAGTGTTTTATTTGGTTAATATTTTATTATTAATTGATATGTGTTATCCCTTTTATAGTACTAATTTGAGTTTTTTATATTAGATTTTGTATATGACTCTATTTTTCATAAATTAGCAATTAAAGAACAAACTAAAGCAGATTTATCCTAATTTTGGGAGTAGTCAGCACCACCTCAGATTAAAGCTACTCGAATTAAATAATCCAACCAGCAAGATCAAAGGAGAAAAGCAAGGTAAACTACAATTCTTTAGGAATTAAAAGTTGTAATTATATTCAAACACTTTAGATTTTATTATTTTATTTAGGATTTTTCATTATTTATTATTAGGACTTTTAGTTTACTAATTAGGAATTAAGTGTTCTAATTTTCTTGAGAGTTGGTATTTTATTCTCATTAAGAATATCTTAAAGCTATAAATCCTCTAGGGTTAAAGCTTGAGAGATGTACAAGTTCAGAATTCAGTATAGAACTGATTTTGGCTTTTTAGGTTTTTAGTTCAATAAAATTATTTTCTTCTCCAATTTTTCTTTGTTCTACATGCCTAGTATGAATTCAATCATACTTAGCTAAACTTCTACTTAGCTGATAGCTAAGCTATGACTCAATATGATATCGTGAGAATTGCAGAAGCATTAGATTTCTTTCTTGATTTTCGACAGACAAGGAAAGGTAATCGACTTATCTTTAAACATCTCAATATCTTCAATCCAAAGTGTGCAATTGGCTTGATCGATGTTTTGATCTCCAATTAAGGAGGAGAATCGGCATGTAGAAAATTTAATTCCATATAAAAAAACTTAGCGGCGGTCCACTAAAGGAAATCAAGATCAAGTTCAATTCTCATTGAGACACCATAATCCGAGCATGGGCTTTTCCAGTTCTTGGAAAAGCATTGGCGTTAACATCGATAGTCATTGTTAATCCAAACAAGGGCTAAATTTCAATGATTTACTTTGGAAAATTAGTTCACCTGAGAGAAGAGTAAGTTACAAGGGTTAGACCTTATAGACTGTAACCAGCAAGTACCCGAAGTAAAATATATTTTTGTGATCGAGACAGATTGAGGCAAAACGAAGCTAGAGACTATCTCTCATCATAATTTATTTATCTACAATTTATTTTTCTTACTTTTACTTCTTTATTTTATTTTATTTTATTCAATTTATACAATTGTGTTGGGATTTTCGGAAGCTCGATTCGACAATCGGAACGGTTTGCAAAGAGGGGTCAGAACGATTTTTGAGTTTAGGGAGTAAGGAGATTGAAAGATAGAAAATTGCACAGTGATTTAGAGTGGTCCGACTTTCTAAACCAAAGTCTACGTCCACTACCTTAGCTCCTCACCAAGGATTTTCCAACAAATTCACTAATTTGTTCTTTCTTTTGAGGACAAAGATAACCTTACAACTCCCTAGTTTTTCCGGCTAAACTAGAACCTTTCCCTAGCTTTTACACGGGATAAGCTAGAACCTTTCCCCTTTACAAAAAGATAAAATAAGTAAACAAGAAAACCTCTCTAAGGTATGTGTTTACAAGATTGAGCTCACAAGAACAAAATATTTACAAGAGAATGATAAGATTGAAAAAACTCTTCTCTTGTGTTTGATTGCTTGGATAATTGTTCTCTTTCTTCTTCAAGTGTCCTTAGCTTGTATTTATAGCTTGGAATGTGTTTGATGTTGTATATAG